TGCATGCTTACATAAAAATATCTTAGATTGTTTCTTTAAAACTAAGCAGAATACAAATTAAAGAGAAGGGAGGTCAAGGTCACAGAAAAGTGCAAGGTGAAAAGTTTTTGATGCAGTTGAATAGCTCTCACTAATACATATCAGCATATTAGGTCTGATAAAAATATCTTGAATGATTTATTTAAAACTGAGCTTAACACCTATTTGAAAAATGAGAGGTCAAGGTCAAAGGAAAGGTTGAGGTCAAAATGCTGATGCAGTTGAAAAGCTTATATCAGTATGTATTTACTATTAGCATAGAAGTTCAATAAAAATATCAGAAATGGTTTATTTAAAACGTAGATAAACACTAATTTAAAAAAGTGAGGTCAAGGTCAAAGGAAAAGTCAATGCCAAAAAAGTTGATGCAATTGATATCTCTCAGCAGTATATATCAGCATATGAAGTTTGATAAATATATCTTGAATTGTTTATTCAAAACTGCTCTAGACACTAATTTAAGAAAAGTAAGGTCAAGGTCAAAGGAAAAGTCAAGGTCAAAAATTTTGATGCAGTTGAAAAGCTTACATCAGTATGTATCAGCATATGATGTTTTATTGAAGTCGGACATGACAAACACTATATGCCTCGGCCATATTCATGGCAGGGCATAAAAAACTTGAATCTACACTATATGAGGATGTTTCCATATCAAAATGACTAACAAGCAAATTCAAAGAATTGTGGTCCCCTCCTTTCCATGTTCTAGTGGGTGGAATGCCATTATTTATGACATATTGTTTCAAATATGCAGGCCTTATCATATGTCATTCAAAAGTAATCACCAAAGTTAAAATTTTTGAAAATTAGGTAAAACATCAAGGTCAAGGGGTAAAAAAATCATAGCATGCTTGGAAACATCTTGTTACAGGTAATGTACATGTCAAATATAAAAGTCCTATCTCTTCTCAATCAAAAGTTATAAGGAAATATAACATTTTTGAAAAGTAGGTTAAACTTCAAGGTCAATGTCACAGAGTCAAAAGTCATGATATATTTAGAAAGGTCTTGTCACAGGTAATATACATGTATAATATGATTGAATGCCCTATCTTTTCTCTTTCAAAATGATCATTTAAAATAATGTTAAATTTTTTGAAAAGTAGGTCAAACTTCAAGGTCAAGGTCATGGGTTCAAAAATCATGGTATGTTAAGAAAGTTCTTGTAGGTAATGTACATGTGAAATATGAAAGCCCTATCTCTTATTATTCAGAAGTTATGACCAAGGTTAAATTTATTGTGACAGACGGACAGACTGACAAACGGACAGACTGACAGATAAATGAGATTTAATGTCCCCTAGGTCCCTTTTGTGAAAACGGACGACAATAATGCCCTTGCTGTTCATGAGAAGAAGACTTATAATGGAAAAAAATCCCCTGCATTTTTCTATGTAAATCATTGGATACCCATATGTGGCCCCACCCTACCGCAGTGGGTCATAATTTTAACAAATTTGAAGCTACACTAAGTCTATGTAAAGAAAGTTTCAACTTTTTGGGCCCAGTCAGTGGTTCTTGATAAGACTTTTTTAAAATTATACCACCAAATTTTCACTAATTCTTGATTATCCCCCCTTGAAAGAGGGTGTGACCCTTCACTTGAACAAACTTGAATCCCCTTTACCCGAAGATGCTTTGTGGCAGGGTTGGTTGAAATTGGCCCAGCGGTTCTAGTGAAGAAGACAAAAATGTGAAAAGTTTACAGGCGGACACATGGATGACAAACAAAATGTGATCAGAAAACCAGAAAAACTCAAGTGAGCTAAAAACTGATGATCACAAGTACTTGGAAAGAGTTACAGTATTTGAAAAGCAGGTTTTTTTTCATGCATTGTTTTCAGAAGCTGAAAAGGTATGACTTGTATCCATGTTGAAAAAACTTCACATTTCAGAAAACAGTATGATTAAAAATAGTTAATCAAGGTGCTTTGAGTAGCAAAATAAGCTAAACTGGTATAGCTAATTCAACCACAGAGCTTAGTGAATTTTAAAATGCACAACCTTTTCAACTCTTAATCATCCTTAAAATATTTATATCATCATTTCTGATTCAAGGGAGAACTAGAGATATGATCAGAATTAAGTATATCCGTTGACTAATAAACATGTACATGTATCTTGTGTTTTTTAAGTCATTAATGTTTGTTTGTTGTTAAATGTCCCTCTTGGGAATTTTTCACTCATATGGAGACACCACCACTTAAAAATAATGAAGACGTACAATGAAGTCGGATTTGAGGTTAACATTCATTTTAGGAATTTTCAACAATTAAGACATAAAGAGATAACTCCTTCCCCTTGCCCCTTCCCAGACCCCTATTTGTTCATGTATGCAAACTAGTCTAATACTTTGGTTTGACATAAAAAAAAAAAATGTGAATATAATATACAAATAGTTTAATGGTCCATCCCTTTGAATGATTTTCATTCCTAATTCTAGGAGGGTACATGGGTTGACCCAAATTCATGAATGAAATGTCAAGTAATCTTATCATTGATGCACTTTTATTTAATTTGATGTAGTCATATTATGAACATTTCCAGTTCATTAAGAGAGTGGGGATGACCTCCAGGGGTTCATAACCTTAAACCATTAGATGTACATAACATAATAACACAAGAAACAAAATTATGTATAGTCAAATGGAAAAGTTTTCTACTATTTAGGAGTCACATGATCATTTGTCATTACAGGGACAGGGAGCGGCTAGGGAGATTGGACCCCCCCCCTGGAATTTGCAGAGTTATTTAAATAGGATTACATGTATATACTGATTTACAGAAGCAAATAAAAAATGACTTTGGATGCCCTCCCCCTTTAAAAACATGGACCCCACCATCATTGTTTTTATTTTGTTTGTTTGTTTGTTTGTTTTTTTTTTTTTGCTCCTCAGGAAATTCTGGGCTGGAATTTTTTTGGACCGAGGTGTGGACCCCCCCCCTCCCCCCTCCCCCCCGAAAAAAATTCCCGGATCTGTGCCTGTAACTGAATGTAATGTCGACAACGGGAGATATCTCTTCAGAATGTGAAATTCGTCTATTGTGGCATCCGATGATCCACTCTCTACCATCGGCTCATACATTCAGTGTCTGAGAGAGAAACGAACGACAACTCTGCATAGGAGATTGCCGATGATCTTTGATCCTTTTTAAACTTTAACCTAACCATTTGCATTTCGGTTTATTTTACCCCAATCTATACTTAAACTTGTACTTACCGACTGTCATAGGTCCTGTCAACTTCATGAAATATAATCCAATTAAAACACAAAATGAACTAATTTCCACTGATATACATGTAACACTGCACCATGTCACATGGCATGTGCAATCTAAAAATGATAATGGTAAAACTAGTACTAGTACTGGTAGGGTGACGCAAGCCCAATGTGATGTAGAAATTTTCAAGAAGGTGTTCACATACATGTACAGTACAAGAACAAATTTTAAATTATCATAACAAACGATGTTTTAACATAACTTTGCTATCTAGGCCTATTTCCAAAAACAGGCAAATTGTGTGTGTGTGTGTGTTGGGGGGGGGGGGGGTGACAAAATTGATTGGGTATGGCTTTTCAAGGAGGTTTTTGCCTAATCAAATACTAAAAAAAGTTTGCACATTTTGATAAATTCATCAAAAACGCTTTGTACTAAAATAATATTATTTGTTGTTGAGAAAATAAATTTAAAAAGTTCCAATTATGGGCCAAAAATTTATATCCCCCCCCTTTTTATCAAAACCTAATTTACATCATTAATTAAATTCTGTTATTTCAGACTGGTAATGAATTAAGTATATGAAATGCGTATAAGAGGTTCATGGGTCACATGGTCACCTGAGCATATTTTATGCTCGATTTGACGAATACATGAACTGTGTAAATTATTGAATTATTTGGACTTTTTCCTTGGTAAGCCCAATATGAAGGAGTGTGCATTTAGAGGCAAACACCTTAGTGCGGGTATTACTGTCTCATGACAGCATCTAGTTTATAATTTTTTTTTATCTTAAAATAGCATTACTAACATCAAAATTGAAGTATTTTTAGATAAATTTATTCTTGCATATCGTGTCCACTCTGTGTTTTATTCTCATGTGTTACTGATATCCAAAAAAAAAAAAAAAAAAAAAAAAAAAGAAAAAAAAATCGCAAATATTATAATTTCACAAAATCATAAGAAATTTAATATTATTAAATATTTTGTTTTTTTAAGGTTCAAGGATCACCCGGAGCGTCCTTGGTGAAAGAAGAATTTAAAACAAATGTACCTAGTATTTCAGTGTACTATAATTATCTTCTATAGCATTATTCTCAAATCTTTCTCTGGGAGAACGAGCTACGTGTTAGACTAAAGTATTTATTTGTAAATGGATATGGAACATGTGATGTCACTTAGGAAAACATCTTGGAACGTTTCAACTAAAATCATGTGATAATTGCAAAAACTTGCATTTATTTCTAATTTAGAATTGAAGTCGAATCGAATTGTATTTCTGTTGAGCTGAAGGTATCTCCAAACACTAATATTTTTTTGGGGAATTTGAAAAAAAATCTGTATCATATACAAGTGAACTTAATGAGTTTATATAATTAGTTCCTCTTTAAATATGGTGTACTGTCATATTTCTCCAGGAAAGTATTCAAAGTATTAGTGAACAGATCACTATTGTTTACTTACATTTGGAAAATGCATGCAATTATGTATTAAGTATTTTTTATCTAGGTCTAATAAAATACTAAAAATATTTTAATCTATTTCATGTTGTGTCATTTATGAAGATTTCCAATTAGTCAATTTTACATCAAAGGACAGATCACGTTGACTACATTTAAAACTACCATGGAATTACTTCCATCGGCAGTATTTATAGTTCTTTACAAAACAAAGAGAATTGCAAATTATTTTATTAAAAAAAAATTAAAAAGAAACTGCATTGACACGACTTTTGCTTGGAGAGGTGGTTCAACAATGCATCAACCATGAAAACACTAAATACTTAATGCATTTATTTCGATGGATTCTGGTTCTATTTGGAATTCTTCCAATGCACGAACTTGCAAATGCATTTTAAAACCCTTTAAAAACCAAAACAAAGGGGGAGTTTCGATAAGGCCGCTCAGCGGCCCACTTTTTTCATAAAAATAAATTTCATTTTATTTTTTCAAAACTAGTTTAGAATTCAAGATAAATATGTTAATAAATTGCTTAAGATTATTTTTGTTGTATAGTGTTTGTCCAAATTTTAAATAAATTATGAATTCAAGCAAAATTTGTTACCTTGATAATTTCTGGATATACATCTACAACGCACATACGATAATCAACTACTGTAAACCAACTTTTTTTCGCCTGCGAGAAATATTCGCGAGTTTCGTGTCCAACATTTACTCGCGAATATTAATCGCTGCGAACCATTTATTTTGCTTTGTATTTGTAGAGAATGTTTCCTGAGTCACGGAAATTAATCGTCGCGGTTTGATTTTTAACTGACGAATCGCGAATAAAAGATGACGCAAATATTAGTTGGTTAACAGTATGCTAAGTATAAAAGTTATCATTTCTCGGGATTATCTCCTCTTTTCACAGGACTAAGAAACAGTTTCTTGGGAAAATCTGGAACCAAAGGTCAATATGATTATCAGCTTACATAGGTTAATTATGCATGTTCAAAATTGATTTGATGTAGTATGTTCAAATGAATCTAAATATATAAATTCAAAAACGACCAGATCTCTTAATAAACAATTGCACATTTAACTTAAAAAGAATTGTAAGTAAAATGAACTTGGAGCAATAAGGTCAAGGTCATTAAAGGTGCGGATCAATTGTTTTGGACCCATCTCCTCGACCTTCACAAAAATGCGTCCGTCATTTGCCCAGTACGAATCTATTACTTCCGCTTTTTTCGACTTAGACAACTCATGAACTATTCCTTGATGGAACCTAGTGAGTTCTTCTGTAACAAATAGGGACGTGCCTTTGAGTTTGCGTTTCGCTGAATATACATTTTTTTTTACTTTCCAGTTTTTAAATTTGCAAATAATTTGAATGTTCCCGTTGGCATCGGGTTTACCGATAGGGTGGGATCGGAAAATATCCTCCTCCTTTAAATCAATGTTCATTTTAGATTTGCACAGATCGATCACAATGGCATCAGTGTCGAAGTGATTACCAGTTTCATTTTGAACAGTTGGCACTGGACAGTTATGAAATCTAAGGGTGTTCCTCCTACCGTACTACTCTAACTCGTCTACTGATGTCTCTATCTCCCAGATTTGATTTTGGAGATTAGCATTTGTTTTGTCCGCTTCCTTTAGCTGTTGTTTAAGGAGGTTCGATCCTGAGCTTTTGAGCAGATTTTGTTCTGGACCTTAATTTCTAAAATTCTGCACCAATTTTAAGTTCTAGCTTTAAATCTGGATTCTACAATGCAAATTAAACTATATCCAATGAAAAAACCGCGATTAAATTCCATCCAAATAGGATTTAGTCAGGAACTATATTTTGTGGCGGAAGGTTTTTTTTAGAAGAAAATGATCAATTTTTCCTTTTGAAATATACACAGTGCTGTTATGTTTAGATTCATGATGATAATATGGTAATGAGGTCATAATGAAGTTTGACGTCATGACAGTTGCTCTGCCTTGATAGATCCATATAAGGAAATAGAGCTCAAAAAAGCTATTTATTGATGATTGCGAGAATTTGTAATGAATGTCTGTATTTTCAGGTTTAAATAAATAAACATTAGTGATTTTCTCTTATATAGTAACAACACGTCTTCGAAATAATCCTCTTTTTATTGTGTTGTTTGGCTGCATTCGGCTTCAGCCAAGCGCTTGCACTCGGTGACACGGAATGTTGTTTACATCTAAAAACGTGGCGACAGCATGCAGATGGGATATGCAGTGGATAAATGCAACAATCAGGCAATCTTTAAAGAGAATAGGGATAAAATAAGAGACCTGGGCCTTGTTTATCTTTGATGAGAAGATGATGACGTTATTTCGGGAAAACTGAGATGATCCGCACTACCTCCCTAGGTCCCTTTCTGTTCATTAAGGTGTGTATGTGCATAGGTATTAACATGCAGACATACTATTCTTTACATCGATGTAAAATAACCGTGAACATGTACAATAAGATGTATTATTACAGTCCGTCACAAACTGCAATGCAGTGCCTTGTGTGTACGTATCCCCCCCCCCCCCCACACACACACACACACACAAAAACACACACATTATGAAAGTTGCACTTTTAAACATGCAATGATGTTGTCCTTTGGCATACATGTAAAAACATGTAACATAACATAAGCACAGCACGCAGCACGTCATGATATCAAATTATAATTTAGATGCAGTCACACAATGTATTTGTGAAGTCAAACTGCACAGTGTACAATGTATGTGCACTCATCTGTAATTACAAGAGTATAAGACCCTATAAATTTTAATTTATACCTCTGGCAATCAAAAATATGTGAATTTAAGACTTCAGTTTTTACCAGTGCTTCATATTTTAAATTCATCGTAGAACTTTTACTATCTGTATCACTAGGCTGTAAATTTGTAGAATTTCTAGTACATTAATGAAGATAAAATGTTTGAATTTTCATTTGTCTGACTACATGCACATTAAGTAAGTCTTATATGTATATACATGTATTTATGTACTGTTTATATGTATAATTCTTTTGTCATTGTAGCTGTCACAGAACTGGTTAAAACTGGCATTTACATCAGCTAGAACTATCAAAATAGATGCATCAATTTCTCCACTGGGTATGATCACACTAAAGTATTTCACATTAATTTTATAGTATGCCAGTGTTAATTTTTTTTTTTAAATGTTGTATAGGTGAAAGAATTAAATGTTAACTCTAGTATATTGATTTATTATTTTTTTTTACTTAGATTAAGTATAGCTACCAATTCTACTTTTGCAAATGTCATAGGTTTCAATTTCCCAGAAAAGTATTGTATCAAAAGTTTGTTTCCATTTATTTTATGAATTTCAGAAAATATAGTATAGCATGGTTTGTTTTGTACAATGCAATGTCATTTCATTCTACAATAGTAATCATTATGTTATTCACTCATTACATATATATTGTGTTGTAGCTACTCCCAAACAATTTGAACAGGCAGCAAGTGTTTCCACCAATAAAATAAAAAGGTATGCTCCATATAAGCTATAAACCATACATATTCCTAGCAAGATTATTGAAATGTTTTGATAATAAAAACAGTAGAGTCATGTATATGCTTTCCATGTTACTCAATGCATTGTTTTGAGTATCACTTTTTTAAAACACCACTGAACTTTCCATAATGGTATTTCATTTTGTTTTCAGAATTGATTTCATCCAGAAGAACTGTTTGAACTGTGGACTGTTTGAAATATTTTGCACCTGCTCAGAAATCCCTTCACAGCCTGCCTTTGAATTTGAAAAGCTGTTTTTAATTAAATAAATTTTCTAGATAAATAATACTTTGAATTTTTAACAGTACAATAGTGTGAAAGTTTGAAGGCTGTTAAGATTTGAATATCTTTATAACTAATCATTTATGTAATGTAATATTATTTCTATATGTTTCAGGTATCAGTCATCCTTAGTTAATTAAAGAGTTACTCATTGGATGATGGTTATCATTTATGACTGATACCAGTTCTACACAATTTGACAATTTTGGTACAAAAGACGATCTATACTCCCCAACATGCCAACGTTAGAGTGCCCTGTATTTGGATGTGAGTGGCAGTCTCAGGACCTGGATGCAGCTTTTGCCGCAGCGATGACGGCAGCCCTCCAGATCCACGATAGAACTGTTCACCAGCCACAGGCCCAGCCAGCAGCTGCCGCAGCTCCCAAACTGAAGTTGGACCCACCCACCATAGCTGCTGGATGTGACCCAGACCAGTGGTCAGCGTTCACTCGACAATGGGAGATGTACAAGGTGGGTATGGCCATTGCCCAAAACGTCATACCCACTGCTCTGTTCTACTGCTGTGACTCAGACCTTCGGACCGACGTCATGCGTGACCAACGAGGTAACATCACAGAAATGCCAGAGGCAGACCTGATGAATGTCATTAAACGGCTTGCTGTGAAGGATGAGAGCACATTGGTACAACGCATTAAGCTCAGTAAGATGACACAAGCACCTGGTACCAGCATCAGAACGTTTTTAGCCAGTCTCCGAGGTCAGGCGTCTCTCTGTCAGTACAAGGCCACATGCAAGGAGGAAGGGTGTAACCACATTTACGACTACAGTGATGAGATCATAAAGGACAATCTGGTTAGAGGAATTGCAGACCCTGAAATTTTGTCTGACCTGCTTGGTGATCCTAAGACAGACAGAACCTTGGAAGAGACTGTTTCC